CTGTTTTGATAAATGTGCTTAGATGTGTTTAGTACAGTATATGCTCTTGTTTTATCCTGTTCATTTTGTGTTCAAATGCTAAAAAAAACATATTTAGGTGTAATTTTTTGGAGCCGGGAAGCAATTAATTGGTTTTCCATTATTGCTTATGGGGAAAATCCGATCAAAACTCTGACTTTTTAGGATTCGAACCGGAGTTCTGAACAGATTAAGTTTGAGTTCCAAGGTACCACTGTATTTTAATCTGAAAATCTTTGAAATATATGGATTTAAACAGTTTATTATACAGAATAATAATAGGTACCGTATTAAACTACTGTAATATTTACGGTGAAATTCTGGCACCCACAGCTGCCAATAATTTACCGTAAATTTAACAGATTTTTTTTTACAGTGTACAGTAGAAAATCTACACCTGTACATTTTACAGTTACAGTTTTTACAGTTTTTAACTGTTAGTTTTACATAAAAAACATTTACAGTGTAAAAACCATATATTATTTGTTTGCTTGTATGGCATTTTGTTTGTCATTCATTTTTCAATATTATCTGGACACTTCTAAAGGTAGCTACCAAAAAGGAAACATTTCAGTAAGTGAACATTATTCCTGAGTTAGTTGAGGAATGAACCTCCCATCGTGCTTGGGGAGAGGTGCTAGATGCTCTTCTGGAAAGCCTAGCATTATTTTGTCCGTGATGTGAGATCTCAGACATTTTGAGGGAATGCTGACTGTATGGAGCCAAGCTCAGTGGCTCAGAGCTCAGAAATGACTCCACTGATACTTCAGGAGAGTGTAAAGTGGTGCTTCCATGGAAATCAGTAAAAGATCTGCATCCCGCGAGGACATTCACTGCAAATGACATCATTTATGGGGGACCCTGTGAGGTTCCATCCACCGTCGTGGAAGAGTCTCACCTCCACTTTAGAAGTGATGCTAAAGGCAGCATTAAGACTCCCAGTTTGTGCTGCCTTTATTTTGAGAGATACCTGTCTGTGACAGCAGCATTAGCAAGACACTAGCAAGAGAAATGAACATTAACAAGAATCACTGTACATTAGCAAGATAAATTAACATTAACAAGAATTAGTGTACAATAGCAAGAGAAATTTGCTGCCTAGTAATTTTGTTATTCTACCTTTACCAAAAAACAAACTAGACCCATAGTGGGTTTAGAACTAATTGACAGATTATATATGTAATTTAAAGGTAGAGAATATTTTAATATATATTCCTGGTTGTATAACAATTGCTCAGATAAGACTGATGTTAGTAATGGATTCTGATGGTGTTACTTGGTGTTACGCAACATCACAATTTGTATTTCATGAGTTGTGTACCTGAAATCCAACATTTTTATTATTATTATTATTATTTTTTAGCTTTGTCATGTAAATGCTAGGAGTCCTTATGCTAGGAAAAGAACAATGTTGTTACAGGATAATCCATATTAACTTTTACCTAAATTAACAGAAAGATGTATTTTTACAATATCCTTTTGTGCATTAATAACTCTGTTTTCAGCTATTGACCTGCTGGAAGCTGTAGGTGTTACACACCACATCCCAGGCATTGTCACAGTCCAGGGGATGGAGAACGGACTTCCAGCCTGGAGGCTCCATAAGAATGTTCAACACCTGACCCTTCCACAACACGACTCCATCAACTTCCAAAGAAAAGTTACGGATTCCTTTGGCCTCTACTTCTCCGTCCAGCAAAAAAGGCGGTCATCTGGCACCCTGATCTCCTTCACCGTGCCGGCCTTCATGAATTTCGCCGGCCAACCTCTGCTCCAGCTGATTTCCAGCAGACGCTCCAACCTGCTCGAGCTAGACTACCTGGCTGCCTTTCATATGGAGCCTGCTAGGATCCATTTCCCCATAAACACAGCATTCTTGAAGGGCAAATGGGCACATATAGCCCTTAGCCTGAACAGGAACAGAGTGGTGCTTTTTGTCAACTGTGAAGAGGCTATGGTGTTGGAGAAGGATTTTGAGGATTTATTCAGCTCCATGTTTCTCAGTGACTTAGAGATCACCCTTGCCAGCACACCTAGAATCTATACCAGCAAGTTCCAGGTAAATCAACCACACTTATTAGATTAACCCTGTGACCAACAGTATCATCAGGAATTTTATCAACAAAGTGTGGCTACCACTCAAAAGAATGCCTTGCAGTGTATGGCTCAGCAGGTTACAGCACTGTGTCTGTGACCAGAAGGTTGCCAGTTTGAATCCCAGAGTCAGTGGTGCGATTTAACCGTTGGGGCCCTGGGCAAGGTTCTTAATCCCCAATTGCACCCGTGACTGGCTTACTATACTTTCTCAAACATACATTACTTTGGATAAAAGTATTTATGAAGTGAATGAAAGGTAAAAGATGATGATCACTAAGAAAGACCAGTGGCCTGTACTACGAAGCGGGGTTACTGGCTTATCGGGGTAAGTTGTCGGATTTAAGGTACCACAGTTTAAATGGACTTCATATTCGTTCACCTACATTTTGCCCAGACTACCTTAAATCTGACAACTTACCCCGATAAGCCAGTAACCCCGCTTCGTAGTACAGGTCACAGAAGGACACTGGCAGTATAAAGAAACTGAAACAACGGCCAGTGAGTTTGCATTGTAGTGCTGTTCTTGGGCTGCATTCCCATGCTATCTCCCTTCTGTGAAGTGGAGAACTGATTAACTAATTTGTATAATTATATGGAAATACAGGGAGTGGCTCAATTTTGTGGATGGGGGTGTGGGACACACAAATAATATGCTAAAATAACCTGATTCTGATTAGGCATGAAAGATAAAGACTGCTGCCATGGCAACACTGCCAGACTTTCATGTTGTCCTTCACTCTAGAATTTGCTGAAATAGTTTATTACTCATTGCGAGTTAAGGTTGTAAACTGATTATAAATAATTTTTAAGTGAAGTTTGGAATCTTTTGAAACATTAATAATGTGTAAAATACTTCTTTGGTTTTTACTGTAAAATCAAAACAGTGAGAGAAGGAAATTTGAAGTGCTTACATTTCCATTAGCTTTACACTTTTATACAACTGGGTGTTTCATATGTATGCTTTTGAATCCCTATCTTCTCTGCTGTGTTACCTTGCTCTCACTGAGACAGAAAGTCTTTTGATTGTTCTATACAGTAGTTTTTGATTGTACGTTTTTCCTTCCATTTATTCATCTTCACCTGGTAATGGACATGATCTCTCTCCTCGAAGTCTTTGTTTGCACACTTCAGTTCTCGTGCTTCAGTTTTCCATGCAGGATAATCTGGGTGACAGTGACGTTACTTGATGCTCACCCATCCTTCCTCAGGGTTCTTTGCAAACCGCATGGCTCTCCACCACAGGCTACAAGACGCGACCATGGCACTGCCCCAACACATCAGGTAAAGCCCACTGATTCGTTAATGGTGGCCACACTTTCGTTCTCTTATGCAGGTCCCATATGGAAACTTGTGAAATCAGTCATGCCACCTCGGTCAATCAAAATGTACCTATGTAGTTTTTCATTTTTACGAATGTTGCATTGTAGTGTTATACATTTAATAAACCATGTCTCACAAAAAATGTACATATTGTTATAAGCGCAGCAGGTAAATTGCATTTTGCACCAACTCTCCTCAAACTTACTCCTTGCTGATAAAGTTCCTTCCTCGCAGTTCCCTGATTTAATCCTCTGACCCTTGGGAGACACCAGCGGTCAAAATTTACATCAACTTGTCTAAATTTCCTGGTTACATAAATGATGGTCAAATACATGAATGATTGCTTTAGATGCATAGTGGTTAAATAGATAAAAAGAACAAAAAATACGAATTGTAGTATAAACTTGACATTCAGTAAACAAGTTTCTGCTGTTGAACTTTGTGGCCCATAATAAGTTTATGGTGTTTCTGTTGGGCATCTGTTGGGCACATGATTGTGGATCTTCTGGGAGTTGATTCCAGAATGATACAGCACCCAAATTGCTCTGATTTTGATTTGCACGGACACATGCTCATCTACCATTAAAGGGAAGACTAAACACAACCTGCAGATAAGACTATAAACATCTGTAAACAAAAAAAACACAGGATATGCCCTCTGAAACAGAATGAACCATCGGTGTTTGAAGTTCAGTAAAGACGGAAGATGTTGAAAGTGCCCATACCAGGAAGAAGGCAATTCAGCAGGAGAGAGCCGAAATGCAAAGGTTTAAATAAAAGGAAAATCATTTCGGTTAATGTGAATCCCAGAGGCAATGGCAGTCTTTGTGGTTTGTCTCATGTAAGATGCTTCTGAAAGACATGACATCACAGGGCTCCAGCTGGGCATTGCATGTTGTCAAAGACCTACACTGCTTGTTATTCTTGCCCTCCAGTTTAATTTTGAATTACCGTCATGCAAGAGGAATGCAACTGGCTCAAAGAGGCTCAACACAAGAGGGGTCAGTTGCCCTACCTGTACACTCTCCCTGCCATGATTTGGGCTTGCGTCAGTCTCTTTTGGTTTTGGGGTCACAAATGGCTGACATGCATGATGTGATGCCTTGTCTTATATATGCATTTATGGGGTTTTACATCTTTTTATTGAATTCCCCCCTAGATATTTCTTCTGTTTGACCATTTTCAGATCTGAATGGGATTCTCTGGCCAACAGAGGATTCTGCGCGCCCTCCAGAAGATGTCCCCCACAGACAAGTTCCCAGCAGACACCTGGAGCCTCAGTCTGACCAGGAGCCTGACCTAGGCATACCTCAGGTAAGTATTGTGCGTATTTATTTAATGCTATTCAGCAGTGTGTGGATCTGATTGAGCCCTTAAGCAAGGAATTCAGCCACAATTGCTGCAGTGGTGTTGGATGCATTGACCCCAAAACTTGCTCTCAACTGTATATGTCTGTGTCACTTGGCAAGCATGATAGAACATGTGAAAACAACCCAGTTTCCCCATGGGCATAAATAAAGTTTTTCTATTCTGTTTACCGGCATCCTATTAAGCAGACAGAATGGTGTTTCAATCCATACTGACTACAAATTTTTATAAGCTTCTTCATCTTGCCCTTATGCCTGATCGTTCCCTCTTCTCTTCTCTTCTCTCTTCTCTTCTCTTCTCCTCTCCTCTCCTCTCCTCTCCTCCCCTCCCCTCCCCTCCTCTCCTCTCCTCTTCTCTTCTCTTCTCACTATGGTCAGAGAGCTCTCTCGCAGTCTTTTCCACACCGCAAGGTAATTTGCCTCTGGGAGGGAAAGGACATTGAGGAAGGCACATGGATGCCAAACGGGCCTGATGAAGTCTGCCTTTGTCATGCCGGAGAGTTCCGCTGCATGCCCTCCGGAAATGGTGAGCTCCCACTGATGACATGAAAATGAAATGAACTGAAAGCTCGTTTTGATGCTTTAATGCTAAAACTTCGATCCTTCTGTGCCTGGTACCCACAGCAGAGGTCCTCTTGAGAGAGGTGGTGTTTGTTTGTATATTAACTCCTCTGCGTTGTCTTTGAAGACTGTGTCTATGAAGGGACCAGCTATAAAAATGGAGACGTGTTCCTGTCCAGATCCAGCCCTTGTACTAACTGCTCATGCATAGTAAGTGTAACTGCTGGATGAGTGTGTTCTGTGTTTTATAGTCAGATGTTTCACACTTCAGCTTAAGTTTATCAAGTCAACATTAAACTTCACAATATGCTGTTAGTCTACCTAAATTCAAGGAAGATGTGCATTTTTAGATCTCCTAAATTGACCTGCCTTTTATCTTCTTTTATCTTCCTCTAATTCAATGTGTCACCAAACACTATAATTTCTGTCACTCTCACTTTACGGCATTAAACAGCTCTTCTAATTAAAAAAAGATGGCCCAGCCTTGCCCAGAGATTGGTCTCCAAGAAGCCATGTGTTAAACCAAAGGCATGCTGTGGCAGGATAGTATGTCACTCTGTAAAGGGTGCAATCCCATGATGACCTCAGAGGAATAAACTGAGAAGGTGCCATGATCTCAGAGATTGGAGGTGTCCCTCACACTGGCTGGTTTTTTCAGGACGGTCTTGTGAAATGTATTCCGGTGACCTGTAAGTTTCCCCACTGCCTCAACCCCAAGAGGACTCCAGGTTCCTGCTGTCTCCCATGCTCAGGTAGCCCCCCTCATCCTGCCTCTAGTATTGTTTATGTAAGAACAGGTGAAGAACAGCTTCCAGATGCCAAGCACAGTACCGGTCAAAGTCTGTGTAGTGCCCTAGGCAAGCTTCATCCCCAGCGCCCCTGGTCGAGACAAAGTGAAACTGGCTGGCTAAGACTGTGCCCATTCAAAAGATGCCATGCTAGGTGGCTGCCTACATCAGCTACTGAGGTGGAAAGTTCAGGTCCAGAAAGTACCGGTCCAGACCAAGATTTTTTCCCAACCAACCAGTTGAGTATTTAGAGTCACAGTCACAGAGTACTCAGCTGGTTAGTTGAACAAAATCATGGTCTGGATTTTTACTTTCTCGACCTGAAATTTCCACCTTTGGTTGCCTGATGGGTTGACCGGCACTGACCAGACAATAAGTAAATGACTGATGAGAAAATGCCAGAAGTCAAAGAATTATTTTACAATACTGAAATTGTACAGTCACTCAGCACCATCCAGCTCAAACGCCACTTTGAAAACAGTTGCGAACTCAGAAAACAACGATAAATGAAGTAAAATACATAATAATAAAAATAAGAATAAGTGATGCATGTCTGGCACCAACAACCATGCCACGCACAAAATTGCTTAAATCACCTTTCTTTCCCATTCTGACATTCAGTTTGGAGT